AAACCAGCACCTCTTTCCCCCTGAGACAGCAGCAGGTGATAGGAAAAGAGAAAACCAGGCTGAGTTTTTTTACGCTGTCTGGCCCATATATCCCATAATTCCGTTAGCTTGATAATGTCAGGCATGCAGGCGGAGTTGGGTCATCTTTATATCCAAGCAGAGCAGATCCTTCCTACACTGACTAAGGTAAGTGTTGTCTGTAATAAATTAAGTTGATACTTTATTAATTGCACTGAAATACATTTCTAAAGGCATAATTCACCCAAAAATTAACATTTACTCAGTATTTACTCAACTCTTTCTTCTGATAAACACCAAAGAAGATATTTTAAAGAAAGTTAAAAACCCAAAACCACTGACTTCCATTGTAGGAAAAACAGATACTTTAAAAGTCAAGGGTTAAAGGTTTTCAGAACATCTTATTTTGTGTCCTTTAGAAGAAAGAGAGACAACAGGTTTGGAACAAGTAAACGAGACAGAATTTTTAGTTTTGGGTGAACTGTCGCTTTAAGTTGATTTAATGGTTCACTTTAAACAATAAATGTACACAATATGCAAGTTGTAGTATCACACCAAAGTTGATATACTGAATATTGAGACATGGAACAGATTTTCCTTTCAATATTTTGTTTCTATTTTGGCTTCGAACAATTATGAAAACATTGTGAAGTCATTAAATTGAATTAGCTTTCTAACCTCCAAATCAGTTGAATCATTAACTGTTACGTGACTGACAAAATGAAGATACATTGTTCCCTGGGAGCTTTCTAAACATGCAAATTTAAATGTAAAAATCATGGACATTCTAAGGATTATACCAAAGGTGTATATTAGTTTAAGGTGTATATTATATATGTATAAAGGTGTATATTAGTAATGTATAAAGGTGTATATTAGTAAAATTAGTTAATATACACTAAAATATGTTAAAACTATCAATTATATTAACGTAACTAACCATGACTGCACATCAGCTGCACCATCACCCAGCAATATCACTGTCTGAAGGCAGGATAGCAGAGAAGGTAATAAAGTCCTCCAAAAAACAACATGTCGCTGAATCTTTCAAACAAACATACCCAACTGGTAATAGACACATAAATATAACAAAGGCAGTGCAGGTGTTTATTGCTAAAGATTTGCAGCAGTTTTCAGTGATTGGAGATGTGGGCTTTTGTCATCTTATAAAAGCACTCGATCTGCATTACACACTACAGTATCGCATTTGTTTCAGCATCGAGATAATTAGGATGGTTTATTTATGTTTACTTAAGTACAAAAATGTTTATTTGAAATGGTCAATTTATCTTCCAACTTCACATGTAGGTTTATTTTCATAATGTAGGAATTTATGTGTTCCCCAGTTTGTAAATGAGATACCAGCAGCTGTGAGATATCAGTGTTAATTTTTTTTATACAATACACTAGGAACTAGTGTACTTTTCTTGGCTTTTAAGTAAAACAAAATGAGTATTGCAATAAATTCTTTCTATTTTTTTCTCCTTAACCTCTTACTGTTCCTATTGCTTATAGAATAACAACAACAAAAAAACGTGGCAAGCCATGAAAAAAAAAAAAAAACGTGTTAAAAAAATCGAGGTATGTATTTAACCGTGGGCTAACTGTATTGTTGCATCCCTAATTTGTATTATCCCATTCATACATTTCAATAGTGTTTGCTCATCCCTCAATGATCCCTCAATGATGATTTTTTCTTCACTCCCATCAGGTGAAGTTTTTTTTCCCTCTCCGCTGTCACCACTGGCTCGCATGGTTCAGGATTGGAAGAGCTACGCATCGATGAATTTGCTCTTCAGTATTTGAACTCTCAGTAATGATTAAATCACACTGAACTGAGCTAAACTGAACTGAACTTAAACACTAAAAACTGAACTACACTGTTCCAGTTACTATGACCATTTATGTGAAGCTGCTTTGACACAATCTACATTGTAAAAGCGCTATACAAATAAAGCTGAATTGAATTAAATTGAATGGTTGGGTTTAGGGGCTGGTGTTTACAGGCATGTCGTACTTTAAAAATGTTAGGTTTTCATACAAATGAAATTTCTTTTTTTTTTTTTTTTTTTGGCATGTATAATAGTTATGTTTCCTTGTATGATTGGGCTGATTTAACATAGCATAAATTGATTTTGTCATTTTTGTGAAAATGATTTTGGCGTTTGGGGTGACAGTGGCCCTCTCACAAATCTTTGTTTTGGGCCCTTGAGGTATAGAACCGGCTCTGTTTTCCAGTGTTCCTCTATCCAGTTTTCAAGCATCTTTATTATGGCAGTGTTCTCCATCCCCGACCTCTCGTATATATATCACACCCTTGTCTTCCTGCTGCTTTAGGTTGATGTAGAGGGTCATGTGGTTACCACATGCACCATGGTTTGATGGACAGTATCTGTTTAATGCAGGAAAAGAGTGATGTATCATACTGCCAAGCTTTTAAATAATGTTTACACATTTGACAGGTACTGCACACTGGGATAGACATGTCTTTACCAATTCTGTTGCCAGTATTCCATTACCACCTGCAGAAATAAATCCTGTTCACATTAAAAGAATGGTTCGATAAATAAAAAGGATAAATAAATAATCCTTTATACTGTATGTGAAGCACCAGAAACACTATGAAGGTATCACAAAAGAGGTTCATATACTTTGGAAACCATATGAAGCTTTGTTTGACGAAAAATCCAGAATATAAAAGTACCATAGACTTAAGTGCATTAATTCAATATGTTAAATTGTTCACTGACATTTACATAGTACGTAAAAATCCCTAGTATTGGTTTTACATGCTCATTTATAACCAGAGGTGTTGCCCCTAGAATGAAAAGCATGGTTTGGACCATTTTTGTATAGCGATCTGTTCTAACACTCCAAATGCTACTTATATTTATATTCAGTCTATGCCTGCAGTATTTGTTGCCTCCTTACAATATTTCTCAACAAATTCCACAATATATACATTAAACTATCACAAGAAATATATGACTATTCAGGGTGCTTTGCTTCTTATATCTCACATTTTGCTTTCTAGCGAGGTGTAAACAGCTAAGAGGGTTTACTACAGTTCACTGAAAGCTCACTTCGGCTGTTTAATATGCGTTCTTCAGCGGTCTTGCATCCTCGTGTTCTCTTGTAACGTCATCATCAGCTGCCAAAGTTCAGTTCCAATACTTAAGACCGCATGTACGGAGGACACGTGAAACTTCCCGAATGTGTTCTTGATATCGTGGACGCAACGATGCAGACTTGAGCACCGCTCTCGCTTTAGAAGTTCCAGAAGTCATTGCGACTGGAGGTGGGAAGTGCAGCATTTTATTTAGAATTATTATTAAAGTATAAAGATATCACTTATTTACCTCAAGAGCTTCCCTAAATGAAACAGTGAATATAAACATTACCATGGGCATCTTAATAAAGGAATAAACACATTAAGAGTGTTTGCTGAAATTCGTATTACAATCTGTTTTATTTATATTGTGCAACATATATTTGTAAAGTATTTATGCATGGTATATATGAATTGAAAAGGGGAAAAACAATACATCTTTGTATGAATGCTGTAATGTTTAAATAATTTACTGTTAAAAACGTGTGAAGGTCACGTGATCATCAGGAAGAACGCAGCATCTCATTTCTCACAGGACGCGTTCTCTGTTCTCGTGGTCTCCTGAGTTCGTTCTTCCGAGGACACCTGGCAAGACCACTCTCCACAAGAACGCAAGTCCATTCTCTGCGTTCTTGGAATTGAGAAACAGCCATACTCTTCCTGTCTTTTCAAAATAAAAGTTATATATATATATATATATATATGCTCTGTCTGTTTCTCAAATCTGATTGGCTGACAGCCGTGTGATATTCTGCAATATCAGCACCCATACAGCCTCTTTACCCTTTGTGTATTATACCCACATACAGCCAGCAAAAAGCAGACACAACAGATCTAAAGTTTAAAAGATGCACACTCAACTGTTTAACTGTCAGATTATGATTTGAATCCGGAAGAAAGTAGTTCCTCATACAAAAGGGTTTTTGAGACTCTCCATGTTTGATTTTGTTTTTATATACACAATTATGCCGTCAAACTGTTGTATAAACGCAATATCACACCCAGACAGCACACATACGTTGGGCCGACGTCGGCCGAAGGTCAACACGTCGGCCCCTTTAATTCTAACATCGGTATATGGTCGGCCAAACATACGCATGATCGTTCGGTCGTGTGTTCTATTGTTCCAGCTCAACAAACGTCGGCTCTGCATCGGTTAACGACCAGAGGCCGACGAAGCACTTCATAAGCACTTTATCTCTCATGCCCATGAAGGAATCCGGCAACATATTTGGTTTACAAGTAAGTTTTTGCGTGCATAATAAATTAGACAAACGCGACATGCATCATGTGAACTGCGTCGGTCGGTCCAGCTTTAAATAGTCTACATTAATGCAGTAAAACTGACCAAAATGCCTACAACACATGATTTCAATTAATTAAAATATAAAAAGTTTTGTTGTTATGCTTAAATAATGAAAACGTTGTTTTTTTCTGGTGTTAACTGCTGTTTGCTTTTTTTTATTGTGGCTTTTTCTAATACATTTTTCCCAGTGTAAAAATCAAGTATGTTCTGCATGTTCGGCTGTTTAATTAAAATAAACACCTTTTTACAGAGTGACATCTTTGTTTTATATATACTTGCATTTATATTTGTTGGTTATTTATTTTTGACAGTGAATCTGATGCACAAATAAGTGTTTGTTTTGTAACAGATTAGTAGGCTATAAAGCTCGTCTTAAAGATAATAGCGTATATAAAACTACTAAATACATTTTAAATTCAATATATAAAATACAAGGTTATTATTTAAATAGTTTATACAGTGATCATGTTTATAAATGTAATACTGCATGACTTTGATGTGCGCGCGCGCGTCTCATTCCAACACTGGAGCGGAGGGGATGTTGCTATGGGAAACGAAGCTACAACACGACACGACACCACCTGAAAGACACAACACGACTTCTCTCAAGCTGCCGTTTTGACAGTTTTCAGGTAAGTTTAGTCCCTAAAACAAAGCAAATACTACATAAAACTGTTCCTCACACTTTTATTATTGGCAATTGATGAATATTCAGTTGAATATTATGTTATATAAGAGTGGTAAGTCTTCGTAAAAGTCCGTTAGCATATTAGCACTGGTAACGTTAGCGTCGGGTTAATATTACGTTAACTTACTTAATGTTAGCTCTTGTTAAACTTGTTTGTTAAAGTTTAGGCTTTTATTTATTCTTTATGTGTAGATGAGAGGTTTTGTCAATGTTTTATTTAATGCACTCCATATGTAACGTTAGTCTAATACGCATTGTACTGTAAAGGACCGTGAATCAAAAGTTCAATCGTGTTTTGATATTTCATAGTAACGTTATCTTAAACAAATGTTAAGTAAAAAAGTGTTCTGTGGTTTCAGGAGTGAGAGAATAACCCCCTGCTACAGAAAACATAACACAAGATTCCTAAATTTCTGAAGGGAGCTGATCACAGAGATGCAGAAAAGACAGGTAACTTTAAGCAGAGGATTAATTCATATGAATTTCCATTGCACATCATTATGCAAATGTTACATGTCTATATATTATGCATCTGTTACTTGTCTTTATTGCAGTTATTTTAAGAAAGTTTTGACATTAAAACATGTGAGTGGTGTTAAATTTCACATCACATGATTCTTCAGAACTTAATAAATATGCAGATTTGCTGCTAATGAAGTAATATTTGTTATTTTCATTTTGTTTAATTTTTTTATGATTAATTGATTTATTAAATCTTAGAAAAAAGTTTACACTAAATTATTTGTCATCACATCTGTTTTTAGCATTGATAGCAATCAGAAATGTTTCTTGAGCAGCAAATCAGCACCATTTGATAATCACCATTATATTAGTTCAACCTCAAGCACTAAATCAACATCTTTAAAAAAGATTTCTGAAAGATCAAGTGACACTGAAGACTTGAGTAATGATGCTGAAAATTCAGCTTTACATCATAGCTATGAATTACATGTATATTTACACTGTTCACCCATCCCTTACACCTTAACTCATCCTCAAACAAGTCAATTTAAGCCCTAAATGAATAATTTTTGATTTGTACAGGCATGATATGTCGATTTGTTTTGTCTTTCTTTTGGTTTTGTTTTCCACATCAACTGAAAAGGAGGTCAAAGTTTAACCTAAGTGCCGTGTAGCTGATGAACATCTTTTTATGTAAGTATATTTTTGACGGACTGCCAGACACTTGTCAAACAGTGATGAGCAAACGAGGGGCCGTTCTTTTAAAAAGATCAGGGAGATGCAAGTCTAGAGATTAATATACGTTTTAATTCAAAATTGATTTATCTGGAAAAATTTAATAATGTTTTGAGATGTGCCCTATATGCATTTAGATGTCCATCCATGTTTAAAATACTTTTAAATTTAACAACGGCTATAAGTTATAAAAATGTTTAAGTAAATTGAGAAAACATTTTCATCAGTTTGACAACATACACAATCTCACAAATAGCATAGAAAAAGTGACAAAGCTGTCTTCTTTGTCTGTGTTTTATTACTCTCTTTCGCACTCTCGGCCACTGTATGTAACAGTAATTAGTATAATGTAACAGTAGACAGATGAGGAATGTGAATATGTAGTTTAACTTTAAGGAGCGTTACTACTGGAACCATTTTTTATATATATTATATTTTTATATACATTTTATATATATATATGTGTGTATATATATGTATATGTGTGGGTATTGATTTCCCTTTTAAAAAAAATTAAGCAAAAAATTAATTATAAGGTAGATCAGCTCCTGACAGACATGTTAACAAATCAGTTTAACTCCTATTAAATTTATTCATTCATTTTCTTTTCTGCTTAGTCCCTTTTTTAATCTGGGGTAACCACAACGGAATGAACTGTCAACTTATCCAGCATATGTTTTACGCAGTGGATGCCCTTACAGCTGCAACCCATCACTGGGAAACAACCATATACGTTTATTCTCACTCATACACTACAGACAATTTAGCCTACCCAATTCACCTGTACCCCATGTCTTTGGACTTGTAGGCAAAACCGGAGCACCCAGAGAAAACCCACGCAAACGCAGGGAGAATTTGCAAACTCCACACAGAAATGCCAGCTGATCCAGCCGAGGCTCGAGTCAGCATCCTTGCTGTAAGGCGACAGCACTACCTATTGTGCCACCACGTCACGCTCTTATTAAATTATATTTATATAATATATTGTGTTTCAGTACATGCTATTTTGGGAAGACAAAATATATTCATAAGCTCTCAGAAAATTCAATAAGAGAATTAACTGCACAATTACTTGAAATGCGTGGATGGGATTACATTATTTGTTAACCCAAAGTGAGTTTCTCTTTCTTTGCAGTATTGGATGCCTGATTGCAGTTCAACTCCAAACTCAGTTGGACCAGCTGATCAGTGTCTTCAGTATTACCACAAGCTACTGGGCAGATGTGTGGACACGACAGCTATGAGCCAGACTTGGGACGTTTGGTTTTTAGGTAATACCAGTGACAAAGTATTCAGTAAATTGCTTATAATAAAAGATGCTCACTGCTTACCCCCTTATAGTTAAGTTGTTTGCAGTTTCATTGTTGTAAAAATACCATACTTTTTCCTTTTTTATCAGCAGGTGGAGAGACCGTCTGGGCAGCAGAAACAAGACAACTAATCATAGTTAGGTTGAGATTAGTATTATTAACTTGACTAGTTTGGTTGCAGACTTGTTCAATACTTAACAATTTGTATGAGTTACAAGATCAATGGTCCTGCTATCAATGTTTTTGTAACTTAAATTCATTACAGTTTAGATACAATCAAATGTCCAAACCATCTCTGAGTGAATGACATCAAGGAAACAGGATCAAAAGATCATTCATTATAGACCGTTTCATAGGTAACAGCACATCCTTTGTGAAAAATAATTTATTTTTGTGTCATCATCACAAGACCAAATACATTTCAACTGATTTCAGTTGGTTATATTTTTCAGGTCATTCTGTTCTCCTGGTTGTGAGCATGTGCAGAGGCTGTATTTGTCAGTGTTAAAAGACTATCCAGACATACAAGCAGCCGACAAAGAGTTCTGGAGCAGGACAGACAGGTAGTTCACAGTGGCTAGGCTAGAAGTTTATACTTGGTTGGCCAGAAAGTGGCCTCCGCTATTTTGGGGGGTCCATACAAATACACCAGTGTAAGCTATACTATTGCATTGAAAAAATTAAATGAAAGAATTAATTAATCGGTTGAACACAAAATATTTTAAAGAAAGCTTAAGTATCAAGGTGGCAATATACAGTATGTTACATTGTAGTACATGAGCTGGCTAATACAGACTCGTAAATGTTTAGTTTCTAAGATTAGTTAAATACTAAATCCTATACTTGAGACCGGCTGCATATACAGTTTTAACTGAACTGAATTTAACTAGAACTACACCAGCATTCCAAGTGCTCTAGACTAGCTTTTTGCACTGGTGCGTCTAAAATGTTTGATGGCATTGCAATTAACACTGCAATTTTACATGTTAATTTTTTTTTAAATTACAATCCGTATAGGCAATATTGACTTGTAAATGATTAACTAAAATCGGGTCAACACACATTATGGGGATTGTGTGTAGAATTTTGAGGAAATTAATGAATTTAATACATTTTGCAATAAGACTGAAACATTAAAAATGTGGAAAAAGTAAAGCGCTATCAATACTTTCCAGATGCATTGTATATGGTTTTTAGCACGTTATCAAAGACTTAAAAAAATAGTCCAACATTATTTACAGCAGCAAAAGACCCTCCACATCAAAAGCTACTGGTCAGCTCACGATTCAGCAAACATCTGAAAAACAAATAGCTTATTATGCCTTCACAAGAACTCAGTGTTTTAATGAAGAGTCTAATGAAGATAGTACTATTTTATTAAATTATTATTTAGCCTGGCACGTTTACTGTTACAAAATATTTTAAATGTTTCTTAAAATAAAACATATTGTGTTCAATGGGGAAAAAGTAGCTGTTTTTTACACAGAGATAAAAAAAAACACATTTCAGAGCAGTAATCACAATACTGTGAAACTGTGATATTTTTATCTAAGATTATACCCTCAGAATCTTATACCTGCTCATTCCTAGCCAGTTACTTAAAGCATTCAGTCTTTTTTTATTTTATTTTTTTTCAGTTGTCCTATATTCTGTTTTTCTATGTTCTTGGAAATGCTGCTGTGCATGAAAATGTGACGATATATCCAGGTTCTATAGTTAATTCTGAAATAAATCTTAAAATGAAACAATATTTAAAAATGCAATATTTAATGTGTCAGACACTAAATAAACATGTCAATTCATTTATATTAATCTGATTCCTTAACAGGGCAGCACGGTGGCGCAGAGGGTAGCACGTTTGCCTCACAGCAAGAAGGTCGCTGCTTCGAGCTTCGGCTGGGTCAGTTGGCGTTTCTGTGTTAAGTTTGCATTCTCTCCCCGTGTTGGCGTGGGTTTCCTCCGGGTGCTCCGGTTTTCCCCAAGTCCAAAGACATAGGTGAATTGGGTATGCTAAAATTGACCATAGTGTATAAGTGTGTGTGAATGAGTGTGTATTGGTTGCAGCTGGAAGGGCATCCGCTGCGTAAAACATATGCTGGATAAGTTGGCCTTTCATTCTGCTGTGGTGACCCCAGATTAATAAAGGGACTAAGCCCAAAAGAAAATGAATGAATGAATCCTTAACAGTTAATATTGGTATAATGAGCAGTAGTTGTCATTTATGTAAATTAACCATTTGAGCATGCTTAGTTTGGGGTATGTTGTGCCATTAAATTGTCAATTGTCAATTTCTACATTTTAAATCTGCTTTAGCTTTCTTCTTTCCTATGAACCTGGAAATATAAAATATATATTTTTTTGTTTTTTAACAAATTGCTCATTTTATTCTTAGATTGGTGTACGCTGATGGTCTGCTGAGAATTCTCCGGAGTTGAAGGGATCCTCCTGTCAGACAACCTCTCCAAAGTACAATAGGACTAGTAAGTAACATCTTAAACATACACTACTGTTTCATAGCTTTTAGGTTGGTATGGTAAATTCTCTTCTGATAGTGTCAGCTTTATTTAATTAATACAGTCAAGCAGTAATACTGTGAATTTAATACAATGTATATAATTAATAGTGTCACATGATCCTTCTGAAAAAAATAGTATTCCAATGTACTGATTCTCTCCTCAAGCTGTTTTTTTAAATATAATAATAATGTAATGTGGTATCTGAAGATTAGACATATATTTAGATACACATTTATACTAACACAATGATACTAAAAACCAAAAAAAAAAAACATTCATTATGATTTCACAAGGAATTTAACTTTCAAATGGCTTTTCTGAAAATTAGTGCTCAGACACACTCTTTAAGTTTAAATTAAATGACACATTTTAGCTAGGCACTTGCATAACACATACTCCAGTTATATGTCATGAAACAAATAATATTTATTTGTGGTAATATGAACTGCTGCAATGCTAATCTTTCTCCTTTTGGTTTCTTGCTTTATTTAAGGGTTCCCACTACAAGGATTAGATTTGGCTACTGCAGTCCCGGTTTGGGCCAGCCTCACTTGTGAAGACTAAAGATGAAGACAACATACAAGAACAATTTAGAGGATGGCGACACACTTTTTATTCCACCTATATATCCCCTTTTATGTGTAAGCAAAATTCCACAAGATAAAACAAAACTAAATGACAGGTTGTTTCTTTTAATTTTATCGGTTTTCTTGGAACATTGTACACAATTTACAACCAGTTATATATATATATATATATATATATATATATATATATATATATATATATATATATATATATATATATATATAGGTCAGAGCAAGAAAATGTTATGTTTTCTTCTGGAGAAAGTCTTATTTCTTTTATTTATATTTTAGTTTTGAATTAAAAAAAAAAAACATTTTAAGGTCAATATTATCAGCCTCTTTAAGCAATTTTTTTCGACTGTCTACAGAACAAACCATCGATATACAATAACTTGCCTAATTACCCTAACCTGCCTAGTTAAGCCTCTAAATGTCACTTTAAGCTGTATAGAAGTGTCTTGAAGAATATCTAGTCAAATATTATTTACTCAGTTATTAGAAATGAGTTATTAAAACTATTGTGATTAGAAATGTGTTAAAAAATATTTCCGTTAAACAGAAATTAAGGGATTATATATATATATATATATATATAATCCCTTAATTTCTGTTTAACGGAAATATTTTTATATACAATATATATATATATATATATATATATATATATATATATATATATATATATATATATATATAGAATGACAAAATCTGTTTTGTGTCGTGCATTAGTTTGCTTAAAAAAACTGGTTATCTCTGAGAAAGTATTGTTATTTTATAATATTGATGTGTTATTAGTTCATAGGAGATTTCAAATTGTTGAATGCCATTTATAAAAAAAATTGTACTACAGACTTTAATAAGATTTTATCAGACAATTATTTTAATTTGTATGATTTTATTTACTACTGTAAATATTGTTTGCTTGGTATTTATTTTGTGTTTGTGTTCTCTTTTATTATTGTAACTCCCTGAAGAAAGTCTTTTGGATACTGAACACATGACTGGAATTATCTTGTATTTTAAAATTATAGTCTTGGAAATATGCATTTTCTTTAACACTATTTAAGAAATTATAAGCATTATAACATGTGCTTACACACGTTATTTGTGTTTTTACTATAGTAAACTATAGTCACCCTTAGTGTACATCTTTTGAAGTACTTGTAAATATTCCTATGGTCTTAATATAAATGCTGCAATGAACTTTGTATTTAAAATCTTTATTGCACAGTAGCTTAGCCATGGTTATAGTACAACTTGTTGGTTTTGTTTTAAACGTGGTGGTTATGTGTGATAAAAGTATGTTAATCTATTTGTATGTTTGTGAAAATATTAATAAATCTTCAACTGTTATTGAGAGTGGTGTGTCGTGTTTATTATAAATAAGCAGCTGCTGCAGCTAGTGGTCCATAAGTATGAGCAAAACGCCTGAGAATAGCGCCTCCGCGGCGCGGCCGGTATTTCCGGTTGCGTCGTCCTAACATCGGCCGGACAGCGTTTCCGATCATTTGCCGACGTCGCGGCGACATTTTGCCAATTAGCAAACGCTCCCTGAGCGACATCGCACCGATGGAATTTTGAAAATCGGCACGACGTCGGCCCAACGTATGTGTGCTGTCTGGGCACTCGTAGCAGTGCGATATGGCTGTATATTGGCACTGGTGGGGGCACTAAGGCACTAACGCACGCCTCCCACCAGTGCCGATATACAGCCATATTGCACTGCTACTCGTGTGATATTGCTCATATATATAAAATATATATATATTATATATATAATACAATATACACTTACTGTACAATACATACAATTCATGCTAGTCAAAAAAGTCAAATCAAATCAGTGGTTGCATATTTGATTTTCTTTAAGACTAACTTTAAGGACAGTTTCAAAATTATTAAAAGTAGTACTCTGATATATTTTATTCCATGTTTCCATTGCTCTGACTAAAAAACCTGATTGTTCAATAACAGCTCTCTTGAGTTTAACTGAACAATCACCTTTAACCGATGACCTAGTCTGTCTTATATTGTCCTTGCAGATAATTACACTTTCTTTCAGAGGTGGTGGTGTGCGAGATCATTAACCCTTTGACTGCCGCTCTACCAAACGGTTGACCATGTCTTTACTGTTTTAAAAAATGACTGTTAAAGTATTTAAGGAATGACTATTTTAAATAATGGCTTAGAAACACACTGCATTGTTGGTTTACAAAATGAAAAATCAAACCGACATAATCCTGTTGCACTACTACATTGATTTTGGTTTTATTGTAAAAGAAAGAAAAAAAAGAAAACGTGTTACATATTTTATGGCATACTTAAAAAAAAACAATAATTTAGTATTTAAAAATGCTTTATTTAATTTTTTAGATAAATTGGTCTTACACTTCATATTCATATTCATATATGTATTAATTCCGGTACTTTTACCATAAACAAACAAATCAAACATTTGGTAAAGGCTGATATTTAAAAGATTATGGGATGTGTTGAAAAAAATGCAATGAGTGAGTTAACTATCAACATTAGGAGTTAGGAAATGCAATCCAAACATTTTTTCACATTTGTACACAATAAGGATACATTTGGGAAATTCTTATGTAATTTTACTTTTGATTAATGAAGTTTGTGGATAACTTGAACCAGTCTGTGTCTTGCGTTGATTGAACAATCATGATTCTCGGAAAGATAATCTTCCCATGACTCATCTGATCTCTCTGTATTAAGCTCCTTCTCCCACTCTTTCCTAATTTTGTGTTTGAAGTAACCTTATCTAATAATAAATAATTAGAAAAAGACAGTATCCTTTTCTATTGGGTTGTGTTTTGTTATATTTTCAATCTCTTGTGTATGGTTATATTTTCAAAACCAGAAAAAGGTATTCTAGTAAAATCCCTTATTTGTAAATATCTAAAAAAAACTCAGAGGATCGAAGATCATATTTTGACTTTAGCTGACCAAATGAGCCAAATTTGATATCAACGTATAAGTCTCTTATATGTACTTTATCATTTTTCTTTCCAATGTGGATAGGAACAAAGGCATGATTTGAATTCATTGGGCAGTCCAAATAAGTATTTGGGAGACCGAGAAATAATTTAATCTGTTATTTCAATGTACAATTTAACAGTTGGCTTTTTGGTTCAACTGGCCTGTTTTTCACTTTTTTCAAGCTGCATTCACAGTAGAGCTTGTGAAATTCTGTTGTAAGGTGCTGCAAAAAGTTGTGGGATTAAACAAGATGATTAGACTTTAAAAAAGTGATCGATTGGTCTATATTCTACATTTCTGTCCAGAGAGGTCATGTTTTGATCTGATACAATCAATACAATCAGGTCAGAGTTCACCAAACTTGAACTTTGCAACCCAGTAAACTGCGAAACTTGTCGCACAAGCTTGCGTTCACATGCATATGAATGGAAGTCTATAGGGAGAAAAGTGCAGTATGATCGCAGCTTTACATTTAGAACTAGGAAGAAATGGTGTTTAAGTCTCACTTTGTCTCTTCCATGTACCCAACATGTATTATTCAGATATGCCTAGGTATATCCAGATTCTCATTTTATACCATATTTATTTATTTATTTTAATGAAAATAGTGTTAGATAAAGTTGGCGTTTCTGTGTGGAGTTTGCATGTTCTCCCTGCCTTCGTGTGGGTTTCCTCCGGGTGCTCTCGTTTCCCCCTCAGTCCAAAGACATGCGGTACAGGTGAATTCGGTAGGCTAAATTGTCCGTAGTGTATGAGTGTGTGTGTGAATGTTTCCCAGTGATGGGTTGCGGCTGGAAGGACATCCACTGCGTAAAAACTTGCTGGATAAGTTGACGGTTCATTCCGCTGTGGCGACGCCGGATTAATAAAGGGACTAAGCCGACAAGAAAATGAATGAATAGTGTAAGATAAACATTATTGGGATTTACCTCAAAGTTAAACAGATTTTCTGGGGGAAACAATGTAGGGCCAGGTTTGGTTCTGTCCATTGAGTTGTTGATATGTAGAATATTTACAAATATGTATTGATGAACCTTACACAATAAGAGCAGGAAATAATGATAAGCCAGGGAAAAATAGAGATCGTATCATCTCCGCAGACTGCAGGAGTGAATGTGACTGCGCCAAAACTCTCTATACAGCACAGAGTTTAAAAATAGTAAATCATTATGCGATATTTTTATCCCTTTGTGCATCTAAACATCCACTGTATCTCTGAATAATGTGAATTATTAACAGTGGCATTAATAAATCAAAGCTGAGCACGGCAGCAACTTTCATATCTTGCGTCGGGCCTCATCGAAGAAACACGAGAGGAATAAATTTCTGCATGGATCATTCCTAAAAACCAATTATTATGTAATGCGACGATTTATGTGAGAACGGTTTTATAGAGGATTTATAGATAAATTTGTTCTGCTTGTGTTTTATTAATGAGCTCCAATGACTCGCCGCATTACTCCCACAAGCACACAGAATACGATAGCATGGCATATTACTAATTCTCAGTGCTAGATTGAAAACATGATGAAAGCAAGGATGTTGCCTTGCTCTAAGTTCACCGATTTAATTTTTTTTGAGTTGCAGGTCTTGATGCCGAGATGTAGCAGGCGAACAGACAAGAGGCGGAAAGTTTGACATCCGCTTCTTCCGAGGTTCAATCAAGACGGTTGGCTGTAAGCAGGAGAGAGAATGAAGAAAAAAGGGGGGTGAGTGAGAGAAAGATACCTAACCTGGCCAAGCCATGATGGATGAGTCCAATTGCACGCACTCATCAATCAGCAAATGCTGCAGCACTGTAAAAAAATATATATATAAAAAAAAACAAAATGGAAGGAGCCCAGGGTTTCAACGGAGAACAGGGAGGATGTGGTGAATGGGGAATTTTATGGGATCCATCTATTTGAATCTTCGCACCCTGATTGCCTACTCACACACACACACTCACACACACATTTGATTTTGCAATA